TTCTTCAAGTGGCAATATTCCACGAAGATCAAAGGTGAAGTATGGTCTTTATCTCTATGTTCTTCTGTCTTCAGCTGACACATTAAGAATTCGGAAGTGATACAGAGTGAATAGAAAATAAAACGTTGGTTTTTTCCCGCATGTCAAAAAATTGGTCACCTTGATAAGAATCAAACAGACAGAAGAGAAAAAAATAGACTCGAGATTACTTATAGACATCTACGTATATATAAATCATAGGTTTTGTTTCAATAGTATAAATTATTTTTTATAGTAGATCATTATCAAAGCAAACTTCGAATGACTTCAGAACCGAAATCAAAACGGTTTATTGTACTGGGTGATACTGGAGCTGGAAAATCAGCTTTTATTAATTTTCTGTATAACTATCATTATGGTGCAAAAAAAGCAGAGGAAGTATTTTGTGCTCAACCAAAAGTGAAACTAGCCATACCATGTGCAAATTGGTTGAATTATCTTGATGAACACTATAAGAACAATAACAGTGAATATAATATTAGCGACCAAGCACAAAGTCAAACACAAGTTTGTACTACATATACAATGAAAGGAAAAATCTGTTTAGAAATAATTGATACGCCGGGGTTTAATGACACAAATGGTGCTGATATCGACGAAAAAAATTTGAAAATGATTGAGAAAGCTTTGAAAGATGTTCTTTTTCTAACTGGAATTATTATAGTTGTGAACGGTTCCGTTCCACGTCTTGGTGTTTCATTCAAAAATTTTGTGTATTTGTTACATCAAGTATGGCCCAACAACTTGTTGAATAATTGTGTTGCCATTCTGACCAATTGTGACGAGCTAAGTGTTAATTTAGATTCATCAGTACTAGAGCGCGAACTCAATATTGATAAAAGCAAAAAATTTCACTTGCAAAATAGTTTATTCCGATGGAACCCAACAAATCAGTCATCGAAAACAATGCTTCGTTTTCGACAAGATTTTGACGATAATTTGGGAACAATTAAAGCATTATTGAGAAAATTATCAGAATTTCATGATGTTTCAACAAATTCATTTGAAGTGGGTGCAATTAGAATCAAAGCAATTGAAAATTGTATTACTCAGTCTATAGAAAATATGGCTTCGTTATCTGGTAACGTTACTTGAATTTTAGCCTGCTGTTTTTCATAAATTGGTCCATGTGAAGATCTTGAAGATTTCGACTGAAAATCACCCATACCGCAACAATAGCGAG